AATTTCTGCTTCATTGAAAATACTTATTTTGTGCCGTTCACGGATGATATGCCCGTGGTAATTTTAATTCAGTGTGATAATAGAAGTCGAAATGAATCGCTTTTTAAGCATTTCAAAATTAAGATGATTTCATAAAATAAATTCAGTGATCGATCAAATCTTATGCGAATTATAACAACCAATTGCGTCGCATGAATTTGTCCCAGCACATGTCCAGCATTTCAGGATTCTAACGAGCGTAACCAATATCAAATACAATATTATCAATGGATACCGTTCATTCTCATCTTACAAGCCCTCCTATTTCTTGCACCTCGGACCATCTGGACAATGTTCAATTGGCGGACAGGTGCGTACGTTTTTCTTGTTTCGTGCGGTATAGGACTGGAGATAGCAGTATTGATTCTGTTCACTTTTTCTGTTAATAATAATAATAATAATAATAATAATAATAATAATAATAATAATAATAATAATAATCAATGCAAGGTTTTCTGGACACTAACAAGCGCTTATTTTGCAGGGTTAAGCATGCAAGCAATTGTTGATGCAGCGATTTTGACTAGAAAAGTGGGCGAAAAACGATGTCTGAAAAAAGTAAGATCTTTCTTCTCCACAAAATTATTCATTGTAGATTCATCTTTTCAGTTATTTTATCAATTACAGAGAAGAGAGAATCGAGAGGATTCATTTACGCAAGCCCAGCAAATCGCTTATGTGATGGATTTTAACCGAAGGAAAAATCAGTATGCAAAATTAATGGGTGAGCATACTTTCACGTAATAGTAGGTAAAAAAGTGAAGTATGTAAATTTCAACATGCAAAACTCTACGTATCTTGGAAAGAAAGTTGATGAAAAAGAAGAGATGAAAACTGAGAACAAATCAAATTTTAGATGACAGTTTGAAAAGTGCAGAAAGCGTTGACAATGTGATCTGTACAGGTGTGGATAATGAGAGAGAATAGCATGTGAGGATTTACAGTGACAGTGAAGTTGTAATTGATAAAAGGTTGGATGTTTCGTGTTAGTGTGGAAAATCCCGAGGAGTTTATCAGAATAATATTGATATATTTTGAATGTTTTCAAAAAAAGAACAAGGGTGTTTTATTGGACATTGAATCCATTCAACATAGCTGATCTTTTTCTGCGAATAGCCACCGAAATTGAAGAAGGAGAAAGATTAGATGGGTGTTCGTGCTGAGAATATTGATAAATGCCATCTTATCCTAAATTGGCATAAGATACAGTAAGAGGGACACTAAAACTGTACGTTTTATTAAACCTTAACTATTTGGATAGCATTAAAATTGTAACCTACCTTTAAAGAAAGAACTTGAAAGAATGCTGAAATTGCCAGTATGGTTGAATTAGGCAACAGTGGTCTAAATTTGCTGCTAATATATGCTGGTTGGCAAATTATTGCTGTTAATCCATGATTAGACCGGAAGATTTGGCTGAATGACGACACAGCAGTTGACATTCAATGCATACTTTTGGAAGATTTTTAGATTCATAGGTAAAAATGGCTGAGCGGAACTGATTTCAAAAATATGCAATTATTATATGAGAACGTCGAAGTTTTGCATTATGACGAATCATAAAAATACGGTTTGAATGATAGCATCCTATCAGTTTTATGTGATAGCAATTGAAACATGACAAGTTTTAAGGAAATGCTTAAATTTATTGATTGTGGACAGCTGTAATAATGGGTGTTTTGCCTTTAAATCTGCTACTTTTCACTTTGCTATTGTCAGAAGTTCTAAGCTCCCATGTAATATCTTCATATTCATGTTTCATGTTCATACTTTATGCTACATTATGTTTTAGTATTATATTTTTATGTTTTAAAGCAACTCATTGCTATGACAGTTGTTCACGTTTATTGCATCCGGCCATTTCGAAACAGTGACCACGGAGTGACCACTGTATCAGCTAATAGTATCAGAACAAAATTGTGAGTATGAAGATAGCAACAGATATACTAGCGATAAAAAGATTCCAAAATGCTTTTGGCTTCTTCTCTTTTGCTAATAGAAATTTTACATTTCTAGGCTGAAAAGATGGGATAAATTTTGGGAAAATTAATGAAAAAATTTTGATTTTTTAGTACCACTTCGACAAATTTATGTCACGGCATTATATTTATTTTGCAAATGTTTAAATGTGTTGAATATCATTCTGCAATTTTACTTGCTGAATTGTTTCCTCGGTATGCAGTATCACTGGTGGGGTTTCGGAGTACTCAACGATTTAATTCACGGGAGAGAGTGGTCCATAAGTGGAAATTTCCCGAGGGTTTGTTATGCATTTGAAATTCGAATTTTTCGATCTATTATACGGTGGAGAAGTTTGAAATAATTTTACGAACTCTTCAAAACTTCTCAAATATTGTTCAAAATATTGTCTGGAATTGATGATATGAATAAGTTCCGAAATGTTTAGCTATACCATTTTTGATGACTTGCTATAATCGATTTTTTTTTTAAAAAAAAAGAAACTGACTGTTTCTGCATTAGCTAAAATGCTACCTATTTGAGGTTACCTTTTGTGATGTGATAATCCGCGAAATTGGCAATACGAATCGGAAAACTGTACAATGTGTTCTAATGATAAATACATTCAATGAGAAAATATTCCTTGCCTTGTGGTTCTGGTTAATGGCTTTGGGTCTTTTAACAATTCTTAATTTAGTCTACTGGACAGCGATAACTTTTGTTCCCAGCTATTCTAGAAACTTCGTATCTTCTTATCTGGTAAGCTTTTCTTAATCTATTCTTATTTTTATTGATCGAGCTGAAGTGAAACTCGTAATATTTGCTTATTCTAGCCTAGTGTTGAAAATATGTTTAAGTTGCATCAACTAGATCAAGATGGTAGTTATTAAAATTACTTTCTATGAAGATCAACTTTTTTGACAGACGTGCCATAAAAAGAACTCAATAATCCTTTCAGACTTTTCACAGCATTAAACCAGCAAAAGAGGAACTCGAATACTTCCTGTGCAATTCGGCCGGAAAGGTTTACATTTTGATGTTCATTTGATGATTTCCACTTCAACAGTTCCATCCTCTTGGAAAGAATTTCTACCACATTAATTAAGAAGTTTCCACTGATGCTCTAAAGCTAACGGAAAAAGGATACCGCTATTATGTAATCAACGTTGAAGTATGTTATACTAACAGCTTATATGGTCATAATTTCGGACTAAGTCTTAGACTGAATAGGGAGAAATGCGGCAGGCTTCTTTGGGATGATTAATATTCGATTCAATTTCTCTACGTTTGTTTTCTTCGACAAGTCCTCACTGTCTTACGTCAGCGGATTGAGAGATTAGTAACATTCCTGTCAGATGAGAAAGTTTAAAGTAATATTTCAGGATGCAATTACAGTGCTGCATTTGGTGAGTGATAATGCTGGTGAAATGGTCGCAGCTGATCTGTTTGCAGCACTATGGTGTATTAGTCAGGAACATAAGTATGTAAACAAATCTGAGGTTTATCAATTTTCATCATGAACTGCAATCAAACTGCAACAAAATTACCAAACTCCGATTTCTAATGAATTAAATGTTATGTGTAACTATTCCAATCATGGAAATTGATTCGTGATCGAGCTAAGGACAAGATATGATTAAGTGAAAAAAGTGGAAGTTAGAAATGAACTTCTGAAATCATTTAAATTACATGAAGTAAGAACCAAAGAAGAGTCAGATGTTAGATTTAATTCGTAAACCTGTTGCACACTTCTCTTGTCAGTTCACATGGCTTAAAGTTAGTGAGGTTAAAAGGCAATCAAAAGCTGTTATTATATCCTCACCTGTCGACTTTTTCAATATTTCGAAATCGTCCCTCATTATCATTACAAATGGTTGTGTGCAATGCTTTCTTATTTAATGAATTATATCATTTGAACTCTTTTGTTTTAAACAAATATTTTCTTTCTTACAGATGGAACAATAAAGCGGGCCGCACTACTATCACTATCAGAGCATGTGAATGATAACAATGAATCGTCAGAAGTACTATTATCAGTATAAGCAAAAAATTGTAAACATAAATAGATGAACTGGTATACTTCCAATATATAGATAGTCTCCAAATTAAAGTTTTTCCTGTTAAAATTATTTCACATCTGTTCATTTCTCCACTCTACACTTTGCATTGCGCACAATAGAAGTGAAATGTACCACCTAATGGATGGGGGAAAGTTTGTTACTACTGGTAAATAGCAAGAGCGCTTGAAATGCGACAATGAAAAAAGAAATGTAAAAATAGCAGTCAATTGAGAGAGACTCTCTTTGATATGCTCTCATTTCTTTCCTTACATTTACCCTCCACCCTCTGGAAAATATACTTTCATCGAGCATTAAACAAAAGATTCAAAAACATTATATCATTTGCTCTCTGACTGGAGAATATTTTCAACTGTTCTTTCTCTCTCTCTCTTTCTCTTTCCCTCTTTATAAGAACAAAAGCAACAAAAATGTTCAAATATTTCCTTAAACCCAGTCTTATTAGTTTCATTTGGCATTCGTTTAAGTACGAAGGAAGTGAACAGATGACATGTGTGCCGTAATTGATGACATTTCATTTTTTCATCAACAAACTGTTTCCTATAAATACTAGTCCACAATCATCAAAGGAAGAACAAAGCATACATCCAGGCTTATTAAAGTGCATAGGCTTGTTTTGTGTGAAGTTGATTTGTGATGCCAAGAAATGCTAAATTTTTACATCATAAAGGTCAGCAGTCTTTTAATGCCATTCTCAAATGCAAATATGGGCAGGTAGTTAGCAATGATTTGGACATACCGAAGAGTTGCGCTCATTCTCATGCAATCAACGAGCCCAAGGGTTTTATATAGGAATGTTAAGGTCAAATAGTGGGGGAAAAAGATTAGCGAGCCGAAAGAATAAAGATATCGGTAAACAAGGAAAATAGCAAATAGCTGATCTGATAATGGCATTAACAGCAAAAAAGGAGGTATCCCCGAAGGATTTATATGGAGAGAACATCGAAGATTGAGTTCAACAGAGTTCAATGGGTTTCATTGTGTATTCAGTCATCCAGTTCAGCTGAAATTACGAACAGCAGCAGTGGTGGAGCGAAAGGAGAACAACAGTTATAAAAGGAAAGTACGACAACGTAACGAACATTTAGAGACCTCTTGATATCCGTCAATATTCACTATGTTCATTTCATCCTCATTATTGTGTAATACCGCAGAAGATATATAAAGGCTAATGTCGATAAAGAAAAGCCACAGGAATACAACATCCTTTTCCAGATACTTGAACCTTTTTGTGAAAATGAACAAGTGCATTGTATATTTGAGGCATTTACTTTTCATTTCTTTATGGCTCATCGGAAAAGTCTTCTTTTAAAGCTAAAATAAGAAAAATTTATTTTAAGGAATGAAATCAAAAATTCCCTTCACTATTTATTCTTTACTGTTCGGTAAATAGTTATGGAACCAACTTCCATCAAATGTTGCACAGATGTCGATGCTTTCATAAAAGAGTAGAATGAAATTAAAAAAAAAAAAGACGGCAAAATAAAAACTGAGTTTAATCACGATATGTGGTAAGGTGTAACTGGCCAAGATCGTTTCTGTGTAACTAATAGATTCTCTTAATGTTGCAGGTAGTGTCCCATGAGACCACTTTCGGAAGGTCGATCATGTTGCATTCATCATATTATATTTTTTCGATACCACTAGAGTAGTGGAGAGACATTACCTTCTTCTTCGCCGCTGTTCAGTATTTTGGTCCTTATGGACCTCTCTGTCTATTGAAAAAGTAACAGTAATGATTGATGAAATGATCAACAATGGATACAATAAACAGTTCATGCAGTTGAATCTCTGTTACTAAGAAAGGCAAGAAGTAGAGAGGAGGAAATGTAAACACCGCGTGTTTGGTGATCCTCCCTCATCTGTATGTTAAAAATGATGACAATCCAACATGGGCATCACTCAATGGAAATCGACTGAATCCCATGTTGAATGTTCATCGTTGTCATCGATCAACACTAGACACACACGATGATACGAGTGTCTGTCCGTAACACACTGCATTGATCACTACAACTGTAGCACATCATCCCTCGATGCGCTCTCGACTTCCACGGTCTTTCTTTACTATTCGTCTCTTTATAATTGGTGTTGAAAGAAAGTGGTCTGTTTCAAGTATCCTCCCATTTAGTTGGTCTGCTGAGTAAACTTAGGGTAAGAGCGACCGGTATCTTGTACCTCTAGCTTTTTCCCTCAATGGGAAACTGCCTTTCCCTTTCTATTGTTGCATTCTAGTGGATCAACAGCTCATCCTGGATCATCTGCACGATGCTATACCCTGTGGCGAGTTCATTCCGGTTATTATTTCACTTAACCTTTATGGAACGTTCAAGTACTCTGACCTGTATGGATATGCAATAACACATGTATTCCGTTATATATACGTGTAGTTTCCCGGCTGTATTCGGAATACGCTTGTATTAGTTATACGTTCAAATCTTGACCATCACTTTCCACACGAGTAAGCTTTATTAACTGACAATGGCTTCTATCAAGTGCCCGCTCATTTCGATTTCGGAATTATTTCATGATTATTGAGAATTTATGATACAAAATTGAGCTATTCTGTGTTATTTGTTAGCTTCATTTTATGACTTCAGATTATGACTGGCTACTATAATCATTTTATAACTAGCTACTACAATTATCGCAATAATGGAATATCTGGCGGGTAAGACAAGGAGAAAGAAATGTTACATTGGTAAACAGCATTAGTGGAATGTTCCTGGACATTGATTTTCTGCATTTCAACCGTAAAAAATCCTTCACGAGCAACATTGTTTTATGTCGATACTGCACGCCAGGACAGTTCCCCATAGATTCTCCAAAGCCATACGGTGGGCTACCGGAGATGATTGAACATATGGACCAGACGCGCTTTATCGTATTAATGCTCTTTTGATCATTCGCTGTCATATCTTTGAAAGTTTTGCATACTATTCAGTTCCGCATATCGCTATCATGAAATTGGAAAATTGATCTGCCGTTTTCACTCAGAAACTGTGGTTGATTTACACCACTAGGCAATTTCCATATTGTTATTAATGTGACTTCACCTATCAATGTTACCTATTAATGAGGTGGTTTTTTTTTATAGAATCTTACCAGCTAGCATTTAAATTTAGAATCGTATTATGAGGTCAGGATTTGTCTCTTACAGATTTGTGATTGTAGAGATGGACGGCAGCCTGTTGTTGGCTAAATATCATGATGGAAAGTAATCTTTTGTAGCTGAACTAATTAGACTTGCAGATAAGTTGGAGTAATTCAAAAGTAGACAAAGAGTGAAACATAATGGAAAGAAATGATGGATTTTTGAGGTTAAATTGACCACCTGTTGTTATCAGCCATCTGCTTATCGTTATATCAACTCTGTCTCGCAGCATATTCTAGGAATGTTTCACCAACTTCTAAATTCCTAAGCTCGTCTGTAGTTAAATTTTTCAAAGACAGAGTTGTTATAAATCTTCTACCAATTTTAAAGCAATGTTTTAATCATTTTACTTAAGTAAGCTATCGTATCTTTGCTAGATTTATTTCTGAATTATTCTTTTTCACTTTGTCATCAAAATTTCAAATCATAATTTGTACCATTCATCCGAACCATGTATGTGCGTATATATTCAAACATTAATAGAGTAGTATCTGCTGGGCGGCTAATTACTATTGCTGTAGAAATTTTAGCGTTGCTTCTTAACTTGTAGCAGTTTATTTCTTTCTAATCTATGGTCGCATAAAATATTTGCTGATTCGTCTGGTTGCGTTTCGGATTTGTGTAGTAATGCTCAAGAATGAAAGAAAGAAAAGAAAAACAAATGGGAAGTGTTCTTCTTCACATCGTTATCATCGATCTGATTCATCATCACATAATCATTTCGCTATAATGTACGATAATGTATCTGAGAGTACGTTTCTCTGTCATTCTCAAATGCTCTTCGGATGGATGAACTGGCAGTTTGCTCGAACTTTTCCCATTCTGCTTTATTTAGAGATTACTTTTCATCCATCCTCTACCTGTCTCTTCTTTCGGGTCTTTTTTCCCGGACTTTATCTTCGTTCATTATTTGGGATATCGAAAGTTACTCAAGAATTAATTTCTCAAGAACATCCAATAGTAAAGACGGTATGACGATAATCGCTGTAAAGTTCGTTAATGTGGAAGCAAACACAATCATCTGCGTTGTGGAGGAAACAGAGATGTGCTAGTTCAAAATTATGATAAATTCAAAAGAAACATTTTTGACTTTTGAAAAGGGTCAAACCCTTTTCCCGGTTATTAATAATCTATTAGAAGCATCACAGAGTGAATAATTTTCAAAATTCTAGAAGTTCCACCATGCTGAGTTACCTTGAAAGAGCAACTCATAAGTTGTTGATTTCCATCTTTTACAACTAGAATATGGTGGTCGTAATTGCATTCCATTCGATGGCATCGACATCTATAATTCAACAAAAATTAATGAACGACTTAAGTTCACAATGCTCTTCACTCAGAATTCATAAAAGAACTTTAGTTCTGTTATTATCTAATTCTGTTATTATCTAACTCCTGTCACCTTCAGTTTCGTAAATTCTTACTAATATGGACAATATGAATAATACAGAACGAATTCTTTCGTTACTTCAAATGTTTGGGAAGATTTACTTGGAATAGATATTTTAAATCACTCTTCACTCATTGATGACAACTTTTCTCTCTTGGTCTTTTGGTACTGCAGTGTCACCATAAGGTAAGTATTTCACTGCTATTCCGCCAGTTGCCACCTCGTTATGTCTCCAGGCCAGAAATTTCACATAGCTGTCGAAGCCGTAAGCACATAGTGCCCCAAATGACAAGAACTGAAAATTTACCGTAGCAGTATCAACCGGAAAACGAAAGTTCTCATATGTATGATGAAGGAAATATATAATTAGTAGGGACTAGTTAGTGAAAATTTCGTTTTTTCCATCAGTATTGAAAGCATTCCGCTATCACGCCATACTTCACTGTGGACGTGAAAAGCAAAAGTTTCACTTTTTTACAGTCCTAACATTTCTTTTTTCCTCTTCAAGTAGGATTGACCTGAATTCAACAGGAAAATCAGTGTATATTTAGAAAAGTCCGATTATATGGAAATAAATATCTCGTCTTGTGCTTGCCTACAAAACACAATTCACAATGGCTCACAACGCAGGTTTCCGTTCAATAAACCATTTGTTGTTTTTTCACAGTTGGAATGCGTAAAGTGAAATGGAATAGATGTGAAATAAATAATCTAAATTTATGTACCGAAGCTGCACCATAACCAGTAATACCATGAAATCGTGCCGCGACTAAGGCCAGCACACAACCACATATGAAGAAGAACACGGCCCATGCAAAATAAAATATCATTTCCTATAAGGAGAATTTATTAACAATGCCAACCATGGATGCTAGACATCATTTTCACTTCACCTTCGGTTTTATCTTCAAAGGTATGTCCTTCAGTTATAGCAGTGGCCGCACAAATCAGAATGGAATCAGTGGTCAAAGAAATTCATATAAACTGCTCAAGTCCTGATACAATTTCAAAACTCTAAAATGTCTCTCCATAATAAAAGAGAACTCATTCAAATTTTTGCCTTGTCACAAGAGACCTAAAATTTATGAAAGGAATGTTATCAAGAATCAATAAATGATACCTACAAAGATTCCTTCATAAAATCAACTGTCAAAGAAATAAAAATGCTTACACTAACGATCCAAGGTATCTGATGAAGGAGATCCACAATATGAAATAAATAAAGGATTAGAAGAACTAGTGATACCAGCATGCCAAATACGCAAACGAAGATGATCCATCCGACACCAATATAATAAGCTGGACCGCCAACCAACAGACAAATGAAACAGATGAAGTCTAAAGTCTGAAAAAGATGTGCAGATATGTTTTTCTGACTGTAGATAATATAGAAGATAAAAATTACTCAGAGTTTTTAAGGATTTCTAAAAAAATCAGAGTTACTTCTTATTACGCGATACCGATATTTGCTACTACTTTCTGGGTTGAATTTGTTCTATTCTATTGTGTACTCTCTTGCTTTTAATTATGGAATAAGTCAACATTGTGTTTATCTATGTGATAGATAGGAAGGATATGGAGTTATCCGTTTTCTTTATTTAATGTTATATATCATTTCAAATTAGAAATCGTTGCTTCAAACTTATTTATATAACGAAATTTCAAAAACATACGGGAGATAAACATTCTTTCTTCACAGGTAACCAAAGGAAATTTATTCGATTTAAAAAAAAAAAAAAAACAGAAAAAGTAAAAAAGTTGGAAATGTGTGGACATACAAGATTTGCTATGCGTATTGAATAATTCAAAAATTTAAAATAACCTTTACGACATAATATAGTACCAAAGGAAGAAGGTACACTCTAAATCGGAGATTTTTTCCATAGAACGGAAAAAACAAACCGTTTTTGAATGTTATATTATGGAATTTTTCGAGATAACAATACTTACAATGCAGATACACTTCAACATTCCAGATAATGTTTTCAAGTAATTCAGGTCCAATTCAGGTTTCATGATTTCTACATGATAGTAGGCTTGCGGCTGCTGATAATCACAAACGTCAGTAATGGTTCCCGTGATGTGCCGTTGATCATTCATTTTCGATTTCTATTGTTTGGGTGGAAAATTTCTTCAAATAATCTGTAAAACTTCATTTTCTTGTGCAAATATTCAATTTTCATCCACTCAAGGGAAGGTTGAAATGATTTTCGACCTTTTGGTTGCATGACAGGTAACTAACCAGTTTATCGTTATTTGCCCGCCAGTTTTCTTCTTTCGATGAAATAAATTTGGGTACCTCTTTTCATCAAATTAGATTTGTGTTTTAAATTATTTGTAAACGGATAGAGGGAAGTGTTTCAGCAAATGGAATGTAACAGAAAGTAAAAAGAATACCAGAATTCGATTACCAACCGATTTGGTAAGTGTTATTGCTGCAACGGTGAGGGTTGTATTGGTGCTACTGAAAATTAAATAAGCTAGAAATGATGTGGACTGGAAGTCAGCTGTTCCCTAGAGGTAGTTTGGGACGACCTTAGCGAAAGAGATTGGAACAAACCGCCTCAAGCCTCAACGATTGTTTTTTGTGTGGTTGACTGTTTCTTCAAAAATGCAAGTTTATCTGTCGGCTGTCATATATTACAGTTGGTATTGATGTTTATGTTTCATTTGTAAGAAGGAATATTTTCTTAAGTAAGTTCTTTAAAGCTGTCTGGTCAATCGATTAATTGATTGACTGATTGACTGATTAACAGACTAATGAAGAGATAACTGAATATTTGACTAACGAATCATCATTCAATGAATTTAAAAAATACCAAAAGTGAAAAGTGCCTACATTTCTCAGTTCTGGTCCAATTTGATTTTATTGGTATTTAAGATACGACAATAAAGGTGATGTGTACTTTTAAACGTTCTCTTATTCTACTAATGTCGATAATGTGACCCGGGAAGAACTTGACAAGGTAATGTATCAAATAAAATGATTCAATCTTTGATATATTATGGACATATTAACAGTTGTCTCACTCCTAGGAGATTATTGAACATTTTGTTCACAACTTTACTAAAATGTGTCATCATTAGTTATCGCTCTCGTCGGCTTTGTCATTCTACAGAGCGATGTATTGAAAAAATGAACAATGCATGATAATCTCCGGGTTATTTGCACACTACAATACCTTCATCATCAGACGATCTCTCTCATGTATTATGCTGTGTACGAGTCATTACAACGATTTTAGTGACATTATAAGAGATATGTAATTAGACTAACCAATTAATTTCTTTCAGTTCTTTCCCGGACGGTTTTGCATTACGACAAGGACTTGGTACTATTATTGTTTTATTGTAAACTGTTCCTATCAGTTCAGATTATTCCTTCAAATGTCCGCTATTCGCAGATGTTTGATATTGCAAATTTTTCAACGATTTTCATTTCTGCGAAAATCTCGTTAAATTCCTGCTTAAATTTACCATATCTAAAGCACTTTATAATGTACCATTTTCAGCTACTGATTCTTTATTTTCAGAATTACTACTCTCCACATATCCTTGATGTTAACATCAGTTCTACTCTTGCTTTTCTCAGCAATATTGAGTGGTGCGGATGAACTGTTGAACCCAGTTGAACTTCTACATCAGGTAACCACTCCATCGCAGGAAAGCGAGCAGTGGATCAATATAAAAACGGAATCAATTACTGAAAATGGTTAATCTTATATAACATTTTTATCTTTACTAAATTTGATTCAGTAAGAAATAGAAGGCTACCTCATCAATTTACTGCAGTACAGCAAGATCGTTGTTATATGGATATATCAGGATTAAGAAATACTAAGCAAACAATCAAGTACAAGTTCGAGATTATCTTTTGTCGATAATTCTCTTTAAGTTAATTGTTAATTGAAAGATGGGTATGCACTAACTGATACCTCATACAGATGATATAAGACGATGTGCTTACATTGGAGGTAATTTCTTTAAAACAATTTATAATGACCCTTATAACACGATAATAATAATCAGAATTGAATTTTGGAAGTTACGAATTCCGAATGGCTTGTGTAAACGGCGGCATATGTTACAAAAATGATTCAAATAATCTTCGATTTTTCCTTGTTGGAGACACTGGAGGTAGGCAATTAATTACCTTCATTTTAATCCTAAATACCAACTGAGTTAAAACAATTGAGAGTCTTCCCTTACTTCACATTTTCTTTCACTCCCTAACTGAGTTCATTTTGGTCCTCAACAATTCAATCTAAAACAAGTCTATAGAAGTTAGGGTGGTTACCTTGCAACATAAATTTTCTATAGGCCTGCAATCTCATTTCCTTTACAAATTTCTACCACATCCTTCTGATCGATTACCAAGTTGAATAGTGTCTTAATATTAAGACTTTAGGTTTGCCTATCTACCCATATATCACATATGCACAAAAGTTAGTTGCAAAGTCATTGGCCAGAATTGGTGACGAAGAAAATGTCCAATTTATTGTTTCGGCTGGTGACAATATTTATTTCACGGGAGTGGAAAATGAGTTTGACCAAAGATTTCAGGTAAGTTTGAAGGATTTATAAGCAGTCTGTATTACCATTGGACCTAATTGAATGGACTCGGCAGGTAAGTAAATGAATGGTTAAAAGAATGCTAATATAATTAAAGAGTAAATGAAGAATCAAATAAAGAACATCAAAATTTCAGTTTCTGATTTTATAATTTAATCATAATTTCATATCTTTAGGAAACATTCGAAAATGTATACAAAGGCAAAGCGTTACAAAAGCCGTGGTACTTAGTTGGCGGCAACCATGATCATTTCGGGAATATTTCAGGACAGATTGCTTACACAAATCGAAGTCGACGATGGTGCGTTTTTTAGCATTTCGAATCAGATGGAATGAAAGTGGTATGAGTTGTGCAACTCTTACAAAAGATTAAAAGTTGACTAAAAAAAGTGGTTTACAGACAATCCTCTTTGTTAGTTAAATGTAGTAAATTTCGATATGTTTGGTGCACTTTGATCCAGATTTTTAACCAAAACTGTAACAAACCGATTTGTAATGACCCAGCTTTCAGGACATATCCGGCAAGCTATTACAAAGTGTCCTATGCCTTCGGAAAGAATGTCACGCTGGTTGAATTTCTGATGATTGATACCATTTTGCTTTGTGGTAACACACGAGACATTACAGAAGCTAGCTTTGTTGATATGATTCTTGCAACTACTGACAAAAATCCCAATACGCCAAAAGATCCAGTAGCAGCAAAAGCAGAACTAGACTGGATCGAACAGGAGTTGAGGAGTTCAAGGTTCAGCTGTAAAAGTGATCCTAATATTTCTTATTTTTCAAATCTCGCGAGATTTCATCCAGACATTTTACTAAGGCCTGGATGAGCACCCTAATGCAAAATCAAAAACTTTCCTCATTCGGCTTCCCAATCTTCTAGTCCATTTTACAAGTGCTTTTTAACCCAGAATTCTTCAAATGCAGAGCTGATTATTTGTTTGTTGTTGGCCATTATCCAATTTATTCGATATCCGAGCATGGTTCAATGAACTGCTTGATTGAAAAATTGAAACCACATTTGGAAAAATACCATGTTACAGCGTATATTGCTGGACATGATCACACGCTCCAAGTAAAATTTTAAGCACTTTTTATTCTACTCTTTTAAGTAAATGGTGCTGAAGACTTGAAAAACCGATAGAAATCAAGTAGAAAATCAAGAAAAAAATCAAAAATAGAAAATTAATGCACAACTTTTATTTAACGCACCTTAGATTATAAGACTTTGCAGTGATTTCTTCAGAGAGTGGAAAGCCTTTTTAAAGACACTACCTACTTGTTCATAATTTCTACTAGTGAAATTTGTACTAATCCAAAGAGACAAGAAATTTGAAATGACATTTACAAAAACTGATAAGTCAGTATCTAACACTGAAATACTGATGCAGAATTGAAATGCAAAATGCTAACCTTATAGCACATTGTCACGGAACACTCCTTATCCTCGAATGACGAAAAAATTCCGCTTAATTATATTATTAGTGGAGCTGGATCCCGATCCGATCGTTCAACTAAACATATTGGTACAATACCGGATGGATCATTACGTTTCAAGTGAACATTTAATTCCTTATTTTCAATCATTCAAATTCTTAGTCTTCAATAGTTCATCGGAGGCATCTTAATCAACAAAAACTTATGATGTGCTATCTGCTAGTGACACGATAATACGAAAACTTTAGCGTAAATTTTTAAATTTCTACTTGAAGGAAATATATTGAAAATTTTTACGCAAGTCAAGAAAGTTCACGATGAGTATTGCAGCTATCCAACGGGATTCAATCCATTCTCACAACTTGGTTTATCGAAAGGTGGCTTTATTTATGTGAACATGGACAAAGAGAAAGCTATCTTTACATTTTACAATGGCAAAGGCGACGAGAAATATTCTTGTAGCATTACACCTCGAGGAAAGTTCATGATGAGCAATGTGGAGAAATGATACACAACAGGCCTAATTATTGCTCTTGTTTCAATGGCAAATTTATCATTTCTAAATGAATTAATTCTCAAACTTATATACAAACTACTTCTGAACGATGGATGCAATACTGGAAGAGTCATTACTGTTTCAAGTAATCAATTAATTTGTCATTTTCAATCATTCAAATCCTTATTCTTCGACACTTCATTAACGGTATTTCAATCAGTAAAAGTTAGAACTTGATAATCTTTGGGTGATAAGATAATTCAAAAAATTCGACGTAAATTTTTAATTTTCTAACATCGCAGCACGTTCCATTTCATCGAACTTCATACCTCGTTTTCCTCTGCTCTCTAATTCCTAAACGGTAATGCAATCTCAAACATCATCTCAAATATAATATTTAAACAATGACTTGACTCAGGCGCATCATTGATTCTTTTTATTTCATTTTTTTTTTTTCTGCTCACTTCATGGAAAATATTAGTAGCGCTTAATGACAATGTGCAATTCTATTTTCGTTGCATATTCAATCGGAATTGTCCAACATTCCAGGCGAATCGATTCACTTTGAACTTCGTTTTGATTGCTGTTTGTAAAACAACACTTTTTTTTTGTCGTTTAAATTGATCTGTGAACATTTCCTATGAAATATACTACTCCCTGGAACAAATAAAAATTTGTGGAAATTTCTTCCAAATTTACCAGTAAAGATACGCAGTGCAACAAGACTTCGTCTTCCGCTATTTTCCATACAATAGTAAATTTCATGTGAGATAAAAAGCTTACAGTCCTCTGCCATTGTATTCTTCTGATAAAAATCTTACCGTGTTTCCCGAAAATAAGATAGTCCTTATATTATTCTTCCCTCCCCTACCCTAAAAAAAAAAAAGTTGCCAGGTCTTACTTTCAGGGGATTCTTATTCTCTGGGAAACACGGTAGCATTTCTTGATCATCTGCTCACTGAGATCGTTCTCCGCTCGCCATTTTCAGATTAATCGGACATCCAAAGGTTCATGTCCTGGGAATCCTCAACAATTCCTTTCTTGTACTCCACGGAATAGCTTTTTCTCTTACCACTCATTCTATTATTACACAAGAAGGCCAGATGTTGGGGAGCATCAGAGAGATATCAAAGAGGCTTGGCGCAGTCAGCCGGCGCTCCCCGCAGTCGTGTTGAGTGATGGCTAGTCCGGGAAATAGCCAGCACGGAGTGGGTGTGGACCAAAGCCTTATCCAGGGTTTAGGGCGGCTGCAGGTAGTGATGACACGGTGCTTCCTGTGGCGCGGTAAGGCCGACTAGGTCTTATTTTCAGGGGAGGCTGAAAATGTCACCAGGGCTATTTCCAGGGATGATTTATTTTCGGGAAAACACGGTACGCCCTAAAATATTCACATTATTCACATTGTCCCTTCCCCGAAGTCCGTGACAGGACTTCAAAATCCACTTCTTTCACCGATTCCAACTGAGAAGTGCATGAGTAACGACCTGCTTACAAAAGGCATTGAAGGACAAAAAGCTCCCTACCTCCTTCATCCCAAGCCCCGTTTACTTTAGGCCCCGCCTCTCGGTGTTGTTCATCTCTTCTCAGCAGCATTATTTTAACGGGCTGCGAATTTGTAGGCATTCAAAAGTAAGGTAGTTGAAGTTATGGCTGATGTGGCGTTTGCGTAAACTTCCGGGTTAGCTTCAATCAAGGCAAAGAGATGTTGCGAGTAGAAGTGATGCCAGGTTGTGGGATCCGGAACGATTACATCGAATTGGTCCTGGGTATGCCTATAAATCAGGCGATTTCTGCCTTACAGAATGCATCACGTCATATTCAGAATATTGAGCTGACTTACTCCTCCAAGGTATATCTTTACTTATGTAATTAGACCAACAATGCATATTAGTGAACAGGACAACTTCGCTATTGGCTCCTAGCCATCCCTCCTAGTCTTTCATTTAAGATTATGCTCTAACGTGTAATTTTACATGAACCACTAACTGGATCAGGTATAGTTGACATTGTTAGTTGAATGGAATACATGTACTTCTGCACTGTTTCACTCTCGAGCCTGTACGAGGCTAGGAATTCGTTCCGTTCGTAGAAGTTAGACCGTTTAGCTGACAACATCGCCTTTACGTGCTAATCCCTCCTGCATGCTCATAGCATCTTCAGATGGAATCGTAAAGCCTAAGAATTGATTTACTGTGTATAATTCATATGCATCGAGTTCAAGATATCCTTTGGGGGGAAAGATTATAAGCACATGTCAGCTCTATAACTTTATAAAATACCCATATATACTCGTTAAAGGGATAGCTATTGTAATTCAGGAACCGTTGTCTAGAGATATAATGATACGATTGGCAAAAGATGGCGTACGACTTTATTTTGAGCCAAACTCACAGTTACTTCGGGTAAGGACGATATTCTTGTCTTTGTAAATGCTTCAATTTAACTTTCAAGGTTGGTCCACCACTTAGTCGTTTATTGCTCTTCCATTTTTGTATATGTTTTTCAGCTGATTGAAGTATACGATTTGTCAAACATTATCTTACAATATGGGTATGTTTTACAGACAGTTATGCTTTTTGTAGTTTAACTCAGTAATTGTAGTATTTCGTTTTCTTTTTTATACGAACGCGTCACAGACTTTTTTCCGTTCAGTGGTGTGGTGTTCTCTAGTCCTAAAGATGAAGCAGATGTAAACAAAGTGGAAGGTTGTTTTGGCGCCACACATCCTGGAGGTTGCGCTTTACTTTAAACATTTTAATTTTCTTGACGGATACACTTATCTCAGTTTGGATGAAACTATTTTCAATTCGTTTTAATGATAATTTTGATTGATTCCAAGCTTCTTAATACGGGAATTTTTTAAAATACTTTTGTTAACGAAGAAGAATTGGTACTGATAGCTGCTTTCTGGTATCTGAATTTCACAAGTTTTATCTTCAGTCTATGTTGCTGAACAAAGTTTATATGAATTGAGCTGGAAAGGATTGTCATTCAGTTTTCCTACTCTAAATGAAACCTCGAAAGTGCAAGTAATCGTAATCTTTCAAAAAATAGTTCATATTTTCGAAGTATATTAGATGAATTTTCATTTTGTAAAAATCTTACCTTCATTTTATTTGGGAAAAATTATATTGCTTTCCGGTAATCTGTTCTGTAGACTTCGTCAATCAATGCTACTGGCTTAGGATCACTGCATTTCCGGAGTAATTCTCCACCACTTCTTGCGAAAATGGCTATTTATCCCGATTCATACAACTCACAGAAGTATTGATTTTCTTTCTGAACGTTGATATCTGAAGTTGTTTAGACAGCTATTTCAATTGCTATCAGTTGCTGTTTTCTTTTCGAGAAAAATGGTATTTTAACATTTTCCAGACCACCAAAAATCTCATCAGCTTCGCTTTGTGGTGTTATATGTCCAGTTGAAGTGAAGTCCATTAGCGATGGAAGCAGAATTTCAGGCTTATTCTTCATCTTTGCTGCAGAAAGTAATGAATTCGCTCATTTTCACATATTTCTTCAAACGTCGTTGACATTTTAAGATGTTGCCATGTATCAACATTCGTTTGCAGCCCCATTGGCCGATAGTTCAAGTCGAAAACAAGCTTTTGGTTTAAGAAAAATTGAACGGTCCATTTTTTTGGCGACACTTCCGAGGTTGAAAAAGTTCCACTATACTCCATTTTTCAATTTATTATTCAGATGGAATAATTTTCGATGTTTTCGATGGATCGTTCTTTTAATTACTCATGCTTTCAGAGTGTTTTGTCATCACTGGGTGCCCCATCGAAAGTATTTTACACGAAAGCAGATCGAATGTTAATTCATCGGGGAGAAGATTCAAAAAAATTGCGTGGACCGCGTCCTAATTATTTCTTCAATTACTTCTCGCTAGGAGTGGTTAGCACATCCATGTTTTGTAAATTTGTCAAAGTAGCTGAAATAAGCCTATCTTGGAGGAAACATTTTCTCAATCTGAAATTAATTGCTGTAAGTTACTGACTTATTGACTTAAGTGATTCTATATTTCCTGCTTATTCAGAGCTTTTTTTTAAGAGATAAAGAGAGCTATGTTTTTAACACAGCGTTTTAGGACATACTATTCGATTGTATCACTAATCGTGTCCAAAAATTTGTGCTACACACCAATTTGCCTGGCCACTTTGACTTTGGAATGTAAGGCTTTTATTTGTAAATATCACTTAGAATATAATAAAAGAAAGTTTGTCTTCGAGTAGAAAGACGAAGCAATACAGAAATACTTAGAAATATAGCATTGTTCAATATTTTAGATAAATTAGTGCTTGATGCATTACAGATATGCACGCTGTAACTTCTGCATTACTGTTACTGGTGGTCCGACCATTACTCCTTCATCAAAGGTTTCAGTTTATATTCTTTCAAGTTGGAAATTTCACTTGTTTTCTAACTTTCGCGCCAGCATTGTATATTCCTTTCGATTTTCGGAATTTCAGCGGGAAAATTTTTTCGGTATCTTCTGCGGTGATACAGCCATACAACCAGTGGTACTCAGTAGGAGTGGAACGGAAAATCCGTTTGGGTCAACTTTTTGCTACGGCACTAATCAAGTTATTGTCGAGGTCAGGAACGGTTGTTTTATAAACTCTCAATAGTAGATAAAAATTAAAATGTATTTGGTTTTATTAACCCCTCTTCTAACTATTTCAGTTTTGTTTTGTTTTGTTTTATGACTTGAATTAATTTGAGCGACACTCCCAGATTTGATTTGCTAAGGTCACCAGTTTTTGTAAAATTATATCGTGTATTGCTTTTCTTCAGAAAAATCGATTTGAGACAAAAAAGAGCATTGATTACTGTTCTTGGTCCTTAAATCTTGATATTTCGAAAACTGTAATGTTGCAGGTGATGGACAATGGATTTATCGCATCAGTTACTCTTTTTTAGGGCCTTTTTTTTTAAAAAAAAAATCAAATTTTCTGGTTTGATTGTATTTAAATATGCCTTTTTGTAGACTGCATTTTGGGTTTTTCCTCACATTTGGTCTTTGTCTGTTTTACCTCATTTAGTACAGTTGTTTCATTCTCTTCCCACCACAAAAAAATTTCTGTGGGCTGTCGAAACATCGAAGTCATTTATATCCCTGGTCTCAATTGCTATTGCTTATTTCTCGTGCTATTAACTTTCTTTATAGATTACAATCAGATTTGTGCGGTTTCAGTTAGATATATTGTAGCTATAGCCAATGAAAAAAGTAATGTTTGCTAAAACATTTTTTTTGTTTATGTGCAACATGATTGGAGCTTGTAATGAAACTGAATAAATGTTTGAAGATTTTCAAAAAAAGGAAATATGTAATATCCTAGAGGGTGATAAAGTTCTTGTTTCTGAGTAGTGGCCTACACCTAATAACTAATAACACTGCTGTTATTAGTTAACGTTGTTGAGCAGATCAAATCGGTAGTTCTGTGAAATTTGTTAGAAATATTGTACAGGAAAGAATTTGAATCTTGAGGAGGTTTAAAATTTAAATCGAAGTGTTTTACTATACTAAAGCATTATACATTAAATGAAAAGACATTGTCTCGCGATAAAATTTTGATGACCAGTCCAAGCTGTTATTAATGAAATTGAAGGGAGTTTTAAAATGAAAAAAACATTAATTTTATGATGTAATTTTATAATGAAGAGATTATTGGATTACTGATTTAAGAATTGATTCTGGGACTAATAAAGCTAGTATGTTGTAATAAAAGAATTACTGAGTATCGGTTGTCAATCTTAACGTAGAATTTGAAGGATGAAATGATTATCAAGTATTGTTACTCAGGTCTGTATCATTGGTAAATATGCTAATGACTTGCATCGTAACTTTATTGTAATGATCCAAAAACTAGAAATTTTGATTTTAGAACCATTCCTCTCGGATACAGTGAAATCTGAAAGCTCTTTTTTGCTGTTGGTTATCTTGGTTTAGAAAATATACAAATAAGAATTCTTCCCAGTTGAAATTGTTGGATGGTCTTTACAAAAGCCGAACGGATCTAAGATTGAATGAATGAAGGTTGTCATAATAACAATCTTGATAAAGTAGCAAAAATTGCATTTAAAAATTAAATAGAAGTACTATGAGATTATAATGATGAGAAAGTTGAAAAGATTGTAGTACCAGTAGAATTAATTGTCTTTGTTGTTCTATGTTTTTTAGCATTGGAGGAGTTTTAAGACCTGATGTTGTAAACATGTAGGACTAGTTTCATGAATAAAATCCAAACTTTATTTTGCTATGTTTATACATAAAAAGACTGCTATTGTGATCAAGTGAGGAAGTTGAGCATCACTGATCAATTTCGTTGAGCAGATGATCACTGATCAATTTCCAGCAGCTTATTGATCATCGAACAACACATCCAATAATACAAATGATAGTGCTGCTTGATGGCACATATATACGCGATAAACGAGTTCTGTTTAATAATAATTACGGAGTACAATTAATTCCCACATTCCATGGCCACAATCAATATGTTAGAGAGGTGGGTGACATTGCTGGGAACGAGGAAGGTGAAATACAATCATTGTCGTTTTTCACATCACGTAGTTTTGTATTCACCATTTATTTGGGGATATGAAGAAATATTTGATTTAGTTTGATACATGTGAAATTTGGCTAGATTGTCATAACGGACTTCATTACTTCCTTATCATTAACTATCGGTGATACACAAAATTTGAAGTCACTTTGTCCTAGTAGTATCTTTATCAAGGCTGATATCGCTACACTCCTCACTTTTTATTCCATTCTCATTTATAGTATTTGTTGAAAGTTAACTATTCGAACAATCTAATATTGATCGTCTTCATATCTCGTATTGTCGCTTATAACAGTCTTCTTCCCTTTTTATCTCTAATCATTGTCTTTTAGCCCTACCATACATTAATTGATGAAGAAGAAATATGAAAATCATTATAATCACTGCGACATAACTGTCGCAAAAACTTAATGTTGTCGTTTGTATGGATTGTCCCACGTTGATTTCAAATGGAGTATTTTTCTTGTGAAATGAGTTGTTAAATCGTCGAAAATGTTTACAAATGTAGTTGCTAAACTGTTCATTAAATTAGTTTAGAAAATGTATCGATGATAAATATCTCAACAAGTTTCTTCTCACTGTTGTATTTCTTAAGCTTATTTTCAAAACAGTTTGCAAAAAAATGATTTGAAAAGAAGCCATCCTACATTCAAAGTCATAGTTCCTCTTAATTTCTTCGTATAAACTGAAGATTTTTCATTTTTTATAGACTACTTTTTTCTCCGCCTGAAATAAGCAAAAAGGTTTTTCACCGAGGCTAAAAGCATCGAAAGAAAACAGTAACCAAAGAAGGCAGAGTTCATTTGTGCTTCCATGGTACTAATTATCATTAAGTGAATGATATGATAATGTAATGGAATAGAGGAAGTCATAGATGCACTTTCAATCAGGACAGTTAACTTTTCATCTAACTTGTTTTGCAAGACGAGGTACATTTCAATTCTTTCATTTTCGTGATGTGCTCTTTCTCTGCTTCTCTTTCTAATGGGAAGCAAAATTTTTCCATTTATCATTCCAACAGATTCATTCATTATTTGCAATACTTTTTACTGAAAAATAACTGAGAAATTTGTCATTCTCAGTAAATGGGAAAATTAATCTCAAAATTTCGCATTAATTAATTGAAATAAATAATTTGCCGTTGTTGAAAATGTGCATATAAAATTCTTTAAAATATTTAGGTTCTACTCCTTTTTTATTGCATTTCAAAAAGGCTCTCTACTGTTTTCGTTCCATACTTTTTACAAAAATTGTGAAATAGGCAGGTATGATTCCAAAAGACTATTCCTTCAACATCATTATCATTATCAATCCCTCAATGCAATCAATATTATCATCAAGTCGCTCATGATAAATGAGGATATCAGCAATTCAATAATTTTTGTGCAAATTCCAATGACAGTGTTTAACATCGGAAATTTTAAGAGATCCTTTGTTTATATCTCAGTCGGAAGGTTTATTGCATTGCTGATGTCGTTGATTTGTTGAAAACCCGTCGTATATTCGAATAAGAATTCGTAACTTTAAGATTAGACTATAAGTTACTTGTTCTAATACAAAAGTGGGAAAAAAATCTTTTTCTCGAATGAGATTTAATATAGGAAGAAGGTTGATTATTAAGTTTTACCCCTACTGAACTGAAGCTTCATTTTCATTATGCTCTCTGAAAGTTTTCAATATTCTTTTAAATTTATCCATTCAATTATGATTTTGGAAACCCAAAAGAAAAGGTAATTTAACAGCAAGCACCATAAGTGCGCGCGCAGAAGAAAACTGAATGTAGCATTTTAATGGTACTTGATTTGATTTTTCCTCGTCTAACAGAAATTAAATTTTTGCGTGATTTATATTTTCGAAACAAACATTTGAGTTGGTTTAGTTATGCGAAAAAGTTTCAAACTAGAATTTATAGCTGGATGAAAATTTGAATCGTAGGAAGGGTTTTGTTACAGTTAATTCATATCATAGGAAGGTATGAATGCTGCAATATCGTCAGTAATCTTCCTCGTTGGACTCTTTACCATTCGTTCTTCGCAGATTGATTTGAGCGAATGCCTAAAAAGTAAGGTCAGTTATTTTTCAAATTTTCGCATTGCTTGTGGTTCAAAAAATAAAAAAGGCTCTAGAAAATACATGAACCGGAGTTTTGCTTTTGAATCAGAAAATCTGTCCGATAAGTCTGGAGGTGTGAAGTTTTTGCTTTAATGACTTGCTTCAAACATCATGATCTCACTGAACCAATAAAAATATGATGTTTTGCACTTCAATAAATGTTCCAGATAAACAACAAAATATTCTGTTCTGCAAGCGCTTCCATTTTCAGGTTTGCATATTTGTTTCGGCACAATGTGAAGAGAAAAGAGATTGTGAAAAAATCATTAGTTATGCAGTACAACCAGATGACTGGGTGGTTGTAGAACTATTTTACAACACGACACATCCGGACACTAATTATGCAGCAATTGGTTTCTCTGAAGACACTCAGATGGCTAGTTCTTATTAGATTAGGAGTGAAAGTTGTGGCTATATCTTGAAGTTTAAGTAGATTATGATACGAAAGAAGTAACTTGAAGTTCTTGAACTACGACAATACCCCATCAGCCATTTCATGCTTATCAAAGCTGTCAAGTTTTTCTTATTCTAAATGAATTTTTTCTAAATTTTCCAGGGCAACGAAGGTGTAACTCACTGTGGTCTGAGTGGAATTAATCAAGCGGGTGTATTCCTGTCTCAGAATGATGGTAAACGTAATATACCGCTGAATTTAACGACAGAGGTAAACTGCTTGTCGTAATACCTTCTATTATCATGCAAGACATGAAATTGAATGCAAAAACTTTTTCGAAGTTTTCTTTCCTATCTTCTTTTTCTTCTAATAATGTATAGGTCATTAGTTGATGGTTTAGTCAGCTTCTGTTTTATCGCAAAACTTCTCCGTCTGTTCGTATATTGCTGGTGCCATTAGGGAATATGAATAGGAATAGATCAAATGAAATTCGTAATAATTTTTTTTGTCATGATTTTTGTGAACATTTCCATCTGAATCTTACTTACAGATGAAAGTAAAGTTTATAATTGGATATCTAGAAATTAAGGAGCCATCTATTTCCACTCCTGAAATGACTTATTCCTCGCTATGAAGCATTTTTGTTTTGCTCTTCAGAATGTTGCAAAATACGTGGAGTTGTTAGAAATCAATCATACATCTAGTTCAATTTACTGCAAATTCCGACAAAAGATTACGCCAGATAAAACAGCTCAAAAGGCTTATGTACCAGATCTAAACCGTACTTATTATTTGCTTTTAGCATATGGGAAAACTAGTAATTATGAAGGTAAAAAATTGGTTTCCTTTTCTGATTTTAAAATTTCTTTTTGAAAAAAAATTTTTTTCCTCAAGCTGGTATTACTATTTGTAGTTTGGGAAGCGGAGTTTGTGGTAGAAGATCATCCAGAAGATGTTGATATAATTAGCATGCATGGATTAGTCAGGCACGGAGTTTCATTAATAGAATTAATAAAAGAGAAATATCGCGCAGTTCTATAGTCCTACTACTCCTTTAAAAAACAACCTTGGTACCAAGGACCCTAATAAGAAATTATGTCTGGTTGCCATTGCTTCTTTGCGCGTTTGGTGCTCTTAGAATTAATTATAAGTTTCAGAGATGGATATTCACTCACTGGATGAGCGCTCCAAGGATTTTCCGCTCTTTATTTCAACACCGGTAAATCTTGCTTCATGGGAAAAACTACCACTGAGACCGATTAAGCCACGAACGAATCGTAAATTAGTTCTCCTACATGGTAAACATTGCCAGGATTTTTAGCAATATAATCCATAAATATATTGTAATTTTAGATTTATTGACTAATTTATGTTATTTTAAGGATAACTTCTCCACTATTTAATTCCTTTTCAAATATCTTTTAGAGGCTCCGGAAGTTTATTTCAGGTGATTTTCAGAACTAACTTGAAACCAAAAATTTCAGGGATTCTAATGCTTGTAGGGTGGATGTCGTTGATTCCTTCAGGCATTGCAGCAGCACGATATCTTCGGGAGCATTGGCCTGAAACTAAGCCATTTGGTTTGAAGATATGGTTTCATGTAAGGTCATTATCATACTAACACCAAGCTATGCATTACTCTTCGTTATTGTTTATTCTTGCAGCCATGAAATTTTATTCCGAGAAGTACTTTGAATCCTTCTAGTCAGTTCTCTTGGTTTTGGAATAGTTTGTGAAGAACTATGTAACGTTTATCGTTCATATTGGTTGAATTTTTCAATAGCTAAGAGCTGGGCATCTCAGAAACATCAGATACTAAAGTTTTTTTAATTTCAGATACATCGTACGATGAACTACCTGGCAGTCATTCTTGTTATTGTCGGTGTTTTGTCAGTATTCATTGGAAAAGAGTGGCGATGGACCGGACCGTCAATCAGTAAAACTATTCAACGAAATTTTTCTGCTGGGTCGTTTCATTCCATTGTCAGTTTCCTTGGAACAGATCCCATCGATTAATATCCTTTGAGTTATTTCTTCGGGTCAGGTATTTTGATCTGTTGGATCACTAAGGACTCGAACGATAAGGGACTGCAGTAAACCGATAGCCGTTTTCAGTGCTACTCGTAAGACAAAATTAGCAAAGTGAACTAACTGTCTTTTGATTTAGTAATGTAGTTTGAGGTTGTCAAGCCATATTCCATTTCAATATGCTGTGATGAACACTTTCTTTACCGGAAGCATCTCCGAAACTCCATCAGATCCAAAAGTCAGCATTAAATAAAGTGGAATCGAATCTTATACATCATGTGCCTTTCAAGTAAATCGAATCTAACTTTGAGTAAAAATTATAGGAATTTTAATGAGAAATCTTTTAAAAGTTATGTTGAAGATCGGTGCTATAGCAACCGGTATAATGTTGATCCAACCAGTGGGTGCATTGTTGCGCTGTGATGAAGAGTCGAAATTTCGCACCGTATTTAATTGGTTGCATCGTATCTTTGGCTTTCTATCTTTCTTACTGGCTCGTAAGTTTGTCATTTCAGTCTGTGGCTATCCACTAATTATAGTCTTTGGATGAAATAATGAAAAGAAAAAAAAACGTAAAAAATTAGAAGTCATTCAACAAAATATTTCTGCCACTAGCAAGCAGTCTTACTGCATATTTAAGTTATTTAGCGATAACCTATAAAGAGGATCACAATCCCAGTGTTAGATGTCTCATTGAATTCGCTATTTTCTTTCCAGTGAATAAATTCACCTGATTTCAGCCAATCCCTTTCCCGTTCGCTTCCATAGCCACTGAACTTCTATACGTAAAAACAAAAACATGGAAGTAAAACGAGTTCATAGCATAAATTACCATGAATCAAGGGAGACATTTTAACTTGGTCTAGAATGTTGTGGTCGTAAAATAAAATTACCGTTCTGAATCTTCCTTGTACATTGTTAGAAACGATCCTTTGGCCAACTAAATGCACAAAAATCTTTTTCACGAGAATACAAATAAACAGACATCAGTTACTCAAACCTTTCAGAGATTGCAATCATTTTGAGCGTCATTTTTTTCCGCCTCTGGATCGCCAGGTGGGCTGCCATTGTTCTCTATGTACTTTATCTTATTCTGATAGCATTTCTGCTTTTTCTTATGAAGGTAGGCATATCTTTTTTCTTTCGTTATTCTTGATATTAGGAAAGACATTTTGAGTGCAAATTAGGAATATATGAGATTGTACTGGCAGATTGGTGGACTGAGTTAAATGATATCTTTGACCTGATCTCCAAATTTTCGATGGATTTTGAACTTTAATAGACAAAACCAGCGCAAATTTTTGTATCGCATGCGATATCTTAGCCGTGCACAAATCTTTTTAATACAAAGCTAACTGCTCCAGTAGTTAATTACAATATTTCAAACTTTACAACAAGGTAAAATTTAAGAAAACAAATTCCCTAAAAAGGCAACAAAATACATCAGTTACCTATGCTGGACGATATTATCACGAGGAACAAATTGTTATAACAAAATCGAAGCACGACAGCAAGGCAAGTCAATCAGCTTTCTCTATCTTTGATAGTTTTTGTGACGAGATACTGGCCATAGTTCATCCCAAGAAAATTTTCGAATTGTAGGCTCAGCTACAAAAATTTCAGGCAAATAGACTAACGGCACTAGTTGTACTGGCATTCACCGCAATGAGCACGCTAATTACTATTGCAATGATGGCACTGATCTTAGCTTCAATGTGAATGATGTTTCAAGAATCAATGTACCATACTCACTAATACATACTATGCAACAAAAAAAATGCTATTACCTACCGGTCCAATTATGAAACTTAAAGAAGTCTAACCCAGAATGACACAGTTGTTCACACTGAACAGATATTGATAAGGGAAAAATGAATAAATAGGCGTTCATCCGACAACTGATAGTAAGAATAAAGATACAGTTCAAGTTTGCACAACAATTAAGCCAAAAACGAAATTCTCACTCTGAGTCGGAATACCAGTGATTACATAAGTATTACCACCGATTCCATATATGCATCGGAAAAGGGTATCAAATAAGCATAAAACATCCAATAACATTATGATCCTACATACTCATACGATCACAAAATTTACATTGACATTTGACTTTCAGGAGGGCTAAGCCTATGTTGCGAGAATTCAAAACTTTAGTTAAAATATTCGTTATAATTGGAATTCAGTTCCGTTAGCAATGAAACTATGTATTTTAAACTATGTATTTTAAATACTAAACTGAACTTTCTTAAAAAATGCAAAGAAATGATATTTGGTTACGAATCAGAATTTATTGTTGCATCAGCTGTAACAACAGAAAAAACGAAACAGCAAAATACTGAATGAAATTTTTTTTCTAATCAGTGTGTTCCTCTTCTGAAACACAGTAAAGCAATTTCTGGATTGAGTGCGTCATTGAAACTGGAAGATATCAAAACTTAATAAATTGTAGAAAAATGTGCACTTTCAAAGTTTTATGTGTTATCAAATCCATAACAGAAATAGGTTTCTGCAGAAAAAAATCATGCTCCTTTCGATTTACGACTTTAAAATATAAAAGAAGGATAACTTACTCCAAGGTTTATATAAAAAAGCTGGTTTATTTTCCCAAAACAAGAAAACAAAATAAAATGGGACACCAGTAAGGATGATTAAAACACCAATAATGAGTTCTTCGGGTTGTACGAAAAACGGCAACATCAGCAGCGCAATGCAAATAATCAGGAATATTGCCGGGAATAGGATATTATACTGAAATTGTCTAAAAATCAGCCTAAAATATCTATGACATCAGGAGGGTAGTCTGCACTGTTCAGTTGTAATTCTTGGGAGGGGGTGGGGGGAGGGGAGGGGGAAAAAAATTAATACTTAAACAAAAAACGGTATTTGTCAAGTTAGGTAGGTCTTACGAATGAATCGCATACTCCAAGAAAATTACCTTTATGTGGGAGAGAAGTTTTCTCACCTCATTTAAAAGTAATTTTAGCAAATATCAGTTACGGTGTACAATAGTTGCTTCTATGTTAATAAAAGAATGTCATGATTTCGTATTTTTGAATAAGACGCATGAAATAAAACTAAAGGACTACCTAAAGCTTAGTTAAAGTGGAAAAAAAACGAAAAAACTCATTCTCTACTTTGACTGGACGAAGGATGTTAGGCTGAGTAAATCGCAACTTAATCAAACCAGCAACGGAAAGTGCGATGACGAATGCTTCAGTAAATGTCAAATAATTAATGAGTGAATAAATGTTCGAAGTAACCAGCATTAACAGCGACAAGATACCAAGAATAAGTAATGATGGCAGGGGTGTTAAATAATTTATAGAAATCATTGAAAGTAATTCTGGCAGCTGCCCATCCCTGAAAATTTTTTTTCCTTTATATGACGGAAAATGATCATTTTGATGTCTTTAAAATGAATAGCACACAGGTTCTAATGCGTGTTCTAATGATACTTTTTTCCTAATGCAGCTGCGGGCATAAACAGTCTACTTCTTTCAGATGAGTAAACGAAATGTAAATGCAAACGTGTGTCACATCTCAGTAAGCAGAGCGGGGTGCCTTGTCCAATGGCATGGTAAGTTACGAAAATTTCATAAGAATTCGGAAAATTGTATCGTAAAAGATCCACTTCATCACAAAGCTGATTCGCTAAATTCCGATGAACAATCATTATACACTCTAAATGGTTGGAGATTTCTTCAGAAGTTGAAAAGTTGAAAGGGAAAATTTGAAATCTGGAAATCATATAACCTGGCACCAACAAAGAACATCCGACTTGCTGAGAAAATGATACTATTTAAACCACCAGCACATGAAATCCCAACAAATATAGGCATTACTGACGCAAATTGACCCATGGTTATTTCTGCAAAAGTCATTGCAACTGCTGATGAATCCAGAATTTCCGGCACAGATAAGACAGCAAAATATGCGATGTTAACCAGCATATATATGACTGTTACTGTGAACAACGAGATCATAATCGCTCGGGGCAGATTTCTTAAATAGAGATGAAGTTTTGATCATCCATTCTTCAATTCCAAATTACTCGCCAATGAGGCTTCAGTATTCGAATAAATGTTCTTTTGTTTACTTTTCAAAGATTATAAATAGGTTATAAAAAAATAAATAGATTATAAAAAAAATAGCTTTTCAAAGATTATAAATAATAAAAATTTCAAGAAAAATCATAGTGAATGATACCAGCATTTTGTTTACTTTCATATATTAACTTGGTAGAAATACAGCTTCCACTGACAGCCATACACAGTGCCATGTGCAAACTAAATTTAAAGTAAAAACTTACTTGAGTGGATTAATAAGCTCTTCGGTCACGAAATTCAGCGAATTCCTAAAAAAATTACACGACTGAATGGAAAAAAGCAGATCGAAAGAAATCTTCAATTTTTTCAAATAATGAAAATTAAAATCTAAAACACTGTTAAAAACTCGAAACTAAAAAGTAGAATAATAAGAGAACAAATGTTTCCGAAGTGAAAATTGAAAATTATTACCATCCACTAAATGAGAATACACCCGAATAGAAAGCCAATGCTATATGGCTAGGATTTGTTTGTGTTCCTTCAAATAATATGGATGGTTCCAAATACTCTGTATTACCTAAAATATTACCTGAAATAATTCACCACCACTGATACAATTCAGATAAGGCTGAAAAGATCTAAACGACTGTCTAGATCCTTTTATTTCAATTCGTTTTGAATGATTATGTCCACTAATATAGTACCCTTTGTCCATAATATAGCATGAAAGTTAAGCGAGCTACAAATGCAGAACTATCTTTGATCCGGACTAAAATTAGATCAAATTAAAATAAGAAATGAGAAGGAACATGAAATCAATACCCAAACACAACCAAAATAAACCAGCCACGATAATGACACAAAGAGAAGCCACTTTGGCCAGCGAAAAAATATTCTGCATTCTCATTGACCACTTCACACTATAGCAGTTGACAAATGTCAGTAAACCTGCAAAAATATAGCAATTAAAAAATCTTCGTTCTCTCAGAACACTTCCTAAAATTTTATCTCTTAAGTGTCGTCAGTCAAATTCCTATTACTTCAGCCTATTAGTGAATTTCGGCAGCCATAAAATGGTTATTGTTACACTATAAACTTTAGAAAACAAGAAAGTTTATTCTGTGCTGACAGTGAAGGTTAAATTACTCATCAGTGTAACGAAGAGGGTCATACGTTAAGATAACTTTCAAACTAAAACATACAAATGATGCAAGCAGCTAATAACCTCACAGCATAATCAGGCAGTTCGCAATGCTTGAATAATGGCTGAAGCGTGTATTGAGCAAATGTTAACGCCATAATAGCATTTGACGTTGGGTTAATGATAATTAATGCTGCCCAAAGGAAGAGAAAGGCAGGTAAAGGTCCAAATGCCTGTAACGTAAAGTGATTTTAAGAGAAATTAATGACAGTGAAATATCTCAAATGCTTCTAAGATTGTCGGCATCTTTCCCGAATGGTATATAGTCAAGGACTAAACTTTGCTTTTGACAGAGAACGGGAGAGAGAAATATAACCAGAAATCACATGATTTCTGCATTATAATCTGCGACCCCAGATATCATTCATATTTTCACTCTACATTTTAATCATTTTTCCTTATTTTATATCTTTATACTCAAAAATTGCTAGTGGAAAAAGGCCAAAACATGCTAGCTACTCTCATTAAAACGAAAATGATGCAGCACAGTAAACAATTACCATAAATTTTTTATCACTAGTTTTAATGTTATTTCAGTTTGACATATCGCTAATATCCAGCTTCTCTTTCAGTAGTGGATTTAATTTCCATCTGATGAAGTTGGATATCTATGCTTTGCATATTTCAGCAGACACTCATTCCTTTCCACTGATGTTTAGAAACGTTGAATTATTTCAACATTAGACAAGAATAAAATCCGGGAGAGAATTTATACATCCTTCGAAAAAAAAAGCTGAAAAACTAGTTAGAAAAATAATGGTTGTAAATAAACCAAGAAAAAAGAATGTATTTGTTCGTCTCTCATTTACACACTCACCTCACTGATGTAGGCATATTCACCACCACTTTTAGGAATAGTTGTTCCAAGCTCGGCATAAATAAAAGCACCCATAGTGGCAAATGCTCCTGATAAAATCCATATGATCAATGATAGACCAACACTTCCCGACTCAATAAGAACGCCTTAAAAATAGGGAAATCCATTAGGGAATTTTTGATCACGAGCATTTTACCAAATGTTGGCATCCCTTCAAAAGATCGAATTTTCTAGGTTTTTGAAATTCCAAAGTGTCGCAAAAAATAATCAAACCTTTGGGGCTAACAAATATTCCAGAACCAACAATAACACCAATAATGATAGCGCAACCATTAAAAAGAGAAATCCGCCGCTCGAGATGAATTTTGTTAGAAATACTGCCACCTGAAGACTCCATCGTCTGCGTAAAGAACCGAACACCCACTATCAGAAAAGAGAGTATTTGTTGAAACAAATGGAAATCCAATACAAAAAACGAGGTGATGATCAGCTGATATAAGAGAAAGGATATCGACTGATACATCCTTCGTTATGTGCTACAGTCCTTCTAATTATAGACAGCATAACTTAGTTGTCCCTCACTGCGACAACACTGCTGTGGGAAGATCGCACAAACGGTAATGAACTTCTGATGAATGATCGTTTTGGAACGAATCAATATCCAAATTTGAGAACAATTGGTACATGTACAGGCACTGATAACTTCTTTTAGGAAAGCTCCCTCAGAAGTCAGAATAGGCTCTGAATTCTCTTAAATTTAAGACTTCCAACTTGGAATTTCTTTCCCACCTCGCAAAAGCAAATGTCTTCTCATTCTGCGAGCACTGATATGGATAGCAACGACATCGAAACAGTATTCTCTATCGCATCACACTATTATTCAATGTCATTCAGAATACTGGAATTGGAAATGAAAAATCCAAAAGAGTGCAAACAGATTTGATGGAGGAAATGGCGCTAACTTTGCAAAATGATTAACGAAAATTAACTAGAAGTAGATTGCAGTTGATTACGGGCTGTATCTCTGTGATCTACGTATACCAATTAATTTATTTTGTATCAATTAACTTAAACGACCCTTGCACGCTTTAAGCCATCCAACTATCGGTGTAACAATTATCCCTGCAACATGGTACATGAATTAATTCTAATCAACTTTTTGAAATGTAGCAAGGAAAAGGAAGAGAAAGCTGATATCAACTTTATATATACATAGTACAAAGCACACCTATACACCTACACATGCAGACTTACACATGCATATAAGCATACAGATACACACACACACACACACACACAC